ACCAACTTCCAAGGGAAGTGGTGTTGGCCCCTACCCTGGGGGTCTTTAAGAAGAGGCTGGATGCCTACCTGGCTGGACTCATTTGAGTCCCGTTTCTTGTTTTGGGGTTTTTTGTTGTTCTCCCGCCCTGGCGGGGGGTCGGGCTTGAAGATCTTCTAGGTCCCTTCCGACCCTTAATCTATGAATCTATGAAACACAACAAATAACACAAGAGGCAAACATTCTTATGGGTATTCCCAAATATAATTCTATAATATATTCTTACATTGATTCCCACAATCCTTCCTCCTTGTGATCTGTGAGCTGGGGATACTAATACCTATCTCCTTTTGTAAAGTGCTTTTTCTACTGCTTTGTATCAGCAGATTTAAGAGTCGGGTGGCATTATGATTTAATAATGGGAGGTTTGCTTAGATAAGGAAAGTGGGCTTTATATCCTAGAATATCCTTTTCAGGTAACAAACATTTCTAGGTGGTCTTTTTTTCCCCTTAAATCTTCTTCTTGAATATCAAGTTAATGTTTAAAAGGTTGTAGAACAATACTATGCTCTATTAATGTGACTCGCAGACACTTACAGAACAACTGTTGTGTTTGCTTACCTTGTGTTTAGCAATGCTATAATAGATATTTTTACATGAATACTCTTTTGTTTTCTCCTTGCATATGATGTCCAGGCAAAAATTGTATAGTTTTCCATTATATAGGAAAAATTCCTATATTTCGTGAGACTGATGTAGTAAATTCATATAGAAGCTAAGGCTTTGGGGACAAATCTCCCAAGGAACTTGTGATGCCCAACTTTTCCAAGACTAATGCCTCACTTTTTAGGTACCAAGGGTCACCATACAATGCATAGGTAGAGACCACATATGGACTTCCTGTTTCTACCAGGAGAAGTGCCACTTGCATACAGATGTTCTAGCTTACAACCATTTGTCCTCTGGGAGAATTGGGGGGAAGGAGGATAAGCTGACTCCAACTGGATAGAAGTTGGTCCTGGGAGAATGAACTTCTGCACGCTTTCCTGAAGCTTAACTCTTCCCAGGGATCAGGAGGAATGGAGCCACAGGGAAAAGCTCCCATCTCTTCTAGAGACTAGGATTACCCTGGGCTGGAGATGGCACGGCGGGGGAGACTGGGAGAGGAGGGGAGAAGCAGCCAGCAGCTGCTGCCCTCTGGTTCCTCGTGCATTTGATTCCCCAGTCTGAGAAGTGGGCACGAGGCACTGGGAGTCGAGCGTAGGTAGCAGTGCCACTCTCTTCCTGCTTCTCGCTCTGGAGGGTTTGCTGTGCTGCTGGGATGGTAGGACCAGAGCAGCCCGCGCTTTCCCCAGACTGGGATCACCCCAGTTTCAGGAAGGTGCAGGAAGCGGGGGAGAGAGGATGGTTGCAGCCTGAATGTTTGCACTGCTCCCTCTCCTGGAATCATTTCTGGTGGGGGGAGGAGAAGGGGAGAAAAAACAAACAAATCAAAAAAATGCTTTGCAGCTCCTGAATATGTCTGATTATATTCCCTTTAATTTAATGTAACACTTCATAAACTTTTGTGATAGAAATGTGGTTTTCTGTGGTATGTTAGGTAAACAACAAGTTTTGGATCAGCTTTTCGTTTCCCCTAAATAACACTAAGTAAAGAATTGTAAGCAAATATTTATAAACATCCAATTAAAATAATATGTGATTTATTACTGTGTTTTCTGTTAAGGGCACTGGAACATTTACACGTGAATGGTAATCAGAGAAACCTTTTTTTTCTTACTACAGCATCTAAGCAAACAGTGTAATTCTATTTAAAAGTATGACCAAATTACATACCATAATATTGTATATGAACTACAGCGTGACTTCCTGCTTGGGAATGCTGAACATGATTGACAATAGCTCTAGTATAGGAAGGGCTCTAATGGATGCCTTACATGGCATGCATATCAATCAGATTCTGAAAAGATTTGAAATTTGTTTTTGTGGGTGTTGGCTTTTACTGCCAGTAGGACTTTTCTTTTTCTGTTTGGTTACTTTGTGTGTTGCTCAGCAATTGACTAATTAAGAAAGATTAATTATCACAGAATCACTGATCTTTCAGTCAGCTGGACTAGTAGGGAAATTTTCCCAAATCAATTAAATGATCTATTTAAGATCTGGCTCCTCCACCACTTAAAAGACAAACAAACATCAAGTCCTTTCTTTCGGGCCCTTCTTTTTCTGCTTATTGAGTCCTGCTAATGAATCCTCTTCTTTCTAAGACTACATGATCATTGCTGTCCACCTTTCTTTCCCCTCATAAGCAACCCTGCTCCTCACTATCCATCCTTTGCTCCTTTAGATCTCCTCTAGTTCCCTTTTCTCTTAATCGTTGTCATCTCTCGTTCTCTTGCCAGTCCCCTCTTGACCAGTTGTTAAGTCCATCTTTCTTCTTGCTGTTCTTTAATTTTTTTGTTGGATTTCCACTCATTACCCACACGGTAAAGCTACAAGCAAAACTGAATCAATTGTCTCGAAGTCATCTCAGAAATCGATAAAAAATATTATGCATTCTTGGAGCCACCCAAGCCCTTTTATTAGAGGGAGTGGGTTTCACAGTACTTTCTTTATATGT